GAAGTCCGCCAATCCGCGGTGGGGCCGCGTGGTGGACTATGCCCTGATACCCTCTGTATGGAGGAGGCCTTTGCCCAGCAGTGGGACATGTATAGGCTGTTACTTTTTTAAATATATATATATATATGTAGATATATATAATACCTATATATATTTATACTTATTATATATAATGTTTATGTATTGAAATTTATATGTATTTAATGATTATATGTAAAGTATTTATCTTTAAGTAAAGTATATTTCTATAGAATGTACCTTTGCTTTTTTTTGTTTTCTTTTATTTATTTTTATTTAATTTATTTCGCGTATTTTGTTTTGCACCTGCGTCAAACTTTCTCTACTCCCAGGGTTGACTGGAAGAGAATGCTTGCTTATTAGCATTAAGTTTGCCATTTGTTTAGCCTTAAGTTGAGGTGTAAACAATAAATTTTTAAATAAATAAATAATAAATCTGTCCAGAAATTATTTTTAAAAATACTCAATGCTCTTTGGCTTCATCGAATTATACCTGAATCTTGGAAGACTCAGTGTGTTATTCCTGTTCTTAAGCCTGACAAACCTCCAGATGATGGTAATTCATATCAACCTATATCTTTATCATCATGCCTAGGAAAGATTTTTGAAAACATGATTAAGATTTGTCTTGATTGGTTTGTTGAAGCTAACAGCATTATTCCAAATATTCAATATGGATTTCGTAGAGGACGTAGTTGTGCAGACAGTTTCGTCACTCTGATATCAGACCAGAAATATGAAAAAAAGAACAAATCAATTATATGTGTTTTTTTAGATGTGCAAGGAGCTTTTGATAATGTTCAGCCAGGTATACTAGTAAAAACCTTATCGCGATTAGGTATCCCTGGTATATTGTGTGTGGATACATAATTTTCTGACCAACAGAAAATTATACATAAAACATAATAATATTTTACAAGGCCCTAAGTCAGCTTCAAAAGGTACTATGCAGGGGGCGATTCTATCTCCTTTATTATATAATTTATATACAAGTGAGATTTGTTAATATGTAAATGCTAATATATTGCAATTTGCAGATGATTTAGTATTATACAGTATAGATTATAATGTAGATATAGCTGTAAATAATGTAAATATTGCACTCAGTCAACTTTACAAATATTATACAAATGAACTTGATTTAAAAATTACCCCTAAAAAAAGCAGTGTATTAATATACAGCAAGGACACTCCCATAGCTCAGGTCAACTATAACAAAGTAATTATTCCAGTAGTCAGGACTCACAAATTTTTAGGAATTGTATTAGACATAAAATTGACATTTGAACAATATATAAGGTATATTTCTCAAAATGCTTTGAAAGGAATAAATGTCTAGCAGAAGTGTCTTGGGGTGCAGACCCTAAGACACTTTCAATGTTTTACAAATCTATTGTAAGAAGCCACTTTGACTACAGTTGCTTAGCATATGTATAGTAGTTATGTACATAAACTGGATGTGCTCCAGAATGCGTGTTGTTTTAGTTGCAATGTGCTCAACTCCCATCCGAGCTATGGAGGTTGAATTTAAAGTTGAACCACTTTGTTTGAGAAGATTACTTATAGCTGAAAGATATTGTGCTAAAGTTATTGCTTCAAAGAATCCACTAGTCATTAAAAAGATTTTACCTCATTCCATTTGTTTTCAAGGTTCACTAACTTCAGGATGTAAATTATTGGCAAGGGTATATCCTAAGTTGTGTCATGTTTTTCTGGAAATACAAAACAATTATTCTACAATATTTAAGCAACCCTTATGGCCATGTTACATAGGTTCTTATAGTAATTTAATATTTCCAGTTCAGATTATTGAAGCAAATGTTGACTCTAATATAGACTATTTAAATTTTTTAGAGCAAAATGAAAAATATTACCGTTTTTATACCGATGGAAGCAAAGGTAAATCACATGTACGAAGTGCAGTGTATGACCCTCAAACTAAGTTTGTGCAGAGCTTTAATTTAAGCACAACCTGTTCTATTTTTACCGCTAAAGCATATGCTGTCCTGGAAGCAATAAAACGAATTGCAAATATTCATTTTTGTAAACATTTTTTGATAGTGACCGATTCCCTTAGTTTACTTAATTGCCTTGTAAGTAATAGGATAGACTACAAAAAGAGTTATTTAGTGTATAATATTAAAGATTATTTAGTTAAATATGCTAGTAAAAGCATCGAGTTAGCCTTTATGTGGGTGCCCTCACATAAAGGAATTACTGGTAACGAAATTGCGGACAGGGCAGCCTATGAGGGTATTAATGAGCTAGACGTAAGTTCAGTTATGCAAATTCCGTTTACTGACTGTTTTCAGCGTATTAGAAAAGATATAATGCACTTATGGCGAGAATTCTCAAAGATCAAGAAATTAAGGGAAAATGGTATGGAGAGATACAGCTGGACTTACCGTGCAAGCCCTGGTATGACGAATTAAGAGTAAGAGCCGTTAGCAGAGATTTTATAACCATAATAAATCGCCTTAGATTTGGACATTCCTGTACGCCAGCTCACTTGCATAAATTGAAAATTATTGACAATAACAGATGTGAACATTGTGGACATGAACCATGTGATGCCGAACGCCGAACATTTGATTTTTTCATGCCCGTTATTCTCTGTACAACGTTTGATACTTGCAAGTGACATAAGTGAAAAAAGTTTTTTACACCTGTAACATATCAAACTACGCTGCGTCAAATATCCTACGCGCGCGTACTACAGCGCTCCAACGCGCGGCTCCAGCAACGCACACTACGATAGCGGTCGACTATATAAGCGGGCAGTGGCTGCTTAGCAGGGATCCGCCCGATAGGAACGCCAGCAATGCTGGACGAAGAGAAAGCCCAATGCTTGGCTGACAGTCTAGAGTCCCAATGCTCCCCTAGCATGCTTCCGGTCAACCCCGCACACCTCCGTATGGTGAACGAAGAGGTTGAAAGGAAAGCCTTAGAGCCACTCCGCGATCCCGTTCCCCCGGTCACGTGCCTAGAATTAATTGACACTATTAAAAAATTACGCCCACGCAAAGCGCCTGGCTCAGATGGCATCACCAATAAGGTGACCAAACTCCTCCCTACTAGCATCCTTCAGATACTAGTATTAATATACAACGCGGCTTTAACAGAAGGCTTCTTCCCATCCGAATGGAAGGAAGCTGATGTCATAGGGTTCCTCAAACCCTCCAAGCCCGCCACTCTACCAACCACATATCGTCCAATAAGTCTTCTCAAAACTTTTGGGAAGATCTTTGAAAGACTTATATTAGCCCGACTAAGATCCCTATGGACTCCAAAGGCCTCCCCATCCCAGAACAGTTTGGATTTAGAGCCAAACATTCGTGTACCCACCAAGTGCACCGCATCACGGAGCACATTCTAGCCAAACGCCAACGCGGGCTCAACACCGGTGCACTCTTCCTGGATGTGGCCAAAGCGTTCGACAAAGTTTGGCACAACGGGCTCGTATACAAGTTATACGGGCTCGGTGTACCCGACCGTCTCGTATGCATAATACGAGACTTCTTAAGTAATCGAACCTTTCGGTATCGCGTCGAGGGCGCGTGTTCGACTACTCATCCCGTTCGAGCCGGGGTGCCCCAAGGGTCGGTGTTGGGCCCAGTCCTGTTTACGCTCTACACCAATGACATGCCGCGTGTCAAAGATGTAGAATTAGCCCTCTTTGCCGACGACACCTGTCTCTATACTACAGGCAGAACATCCGAAATAATCCATCGACGCCTCCAAGCCGCAGCCATCACCATCGGTGACTGGTTCCGGCAATGGAGGATCGAGATTAATCCCGCCAAAAGCGCGGCCGTCCTTTTCTCTCACAAAAACGTAACCAAACCACCCACCATTAAGCTCATGGATAGTCCGGTACCATGGGTGAACAAAGTCAAATATTTAGGTGTCGTCCTAGATTCACAACTCAAATTCAGCCAGCACGTGACTCGGGTTAAGAACCGGGCGGCCTTCGTACTCGGTCGCCTCTATCCGCTCCTCAACCACACGTCTAAAATGTCCCTTCGGAACAAGGTGACCTTATATAAGGCAGTAGTTCGCCCTATTATGACGTACGCGAGTCCCGTCTTCGCTCACATTGCTCCGAAGCAAATACACCGGCTTCAGGTCATTCAAAATCGATTCTTGCGCAGAGCCACGGGAGCACCCTGGTTCATGCGCAATATCGACCTACATATTGATATAGAGCTACCCACCATCGCTCAATTCCTGAAGTCGGCGTCGCGCCGATATTTCGATTCCGCCGCCGCGCATCCCAACCCGCTAATCGTAGGTGCCGCCACCTATAGACCCATGCCGCTAGGTAAATTCCGCCGTAATCACCGTAGACCGCGACACGTTCTTGACTTTCCCGACGATGAGACGACTATCGCCATCGAAAGGAACAAAAAACTTAAGAAACAGACCAACACACACCGCACTCGCCGGCGAGTGCGGCAAACATATACTAGGTTCCGCCACGTACGTGGCAGGTTCTCCCCCATTAATGATAGAAGCGTTGCTGGAGTTTCTTCCGCCACTTCTTCCCACTTCCTTCTTCTTCTCCCAGCGCCAACGCTTTACGAAGTGGTAGTACCGATATCTCTAGAGATCCCCCCAGTCAGTTAACAGCTACCGATCGAGCCGAGGTCCGGCCCTCTCGAATCGGAATGCTAAACGCGTGTTGAGTGACAGCCCAAGCCGAGGTCCCCTCTCGGGGACCCTTGAGCCTGATCACTCCATGGAGCGTCCGCCAAAGCGCCCTAAGAGCTTGGCGGCCTCCCAAACCGGTGAAACTAATAGCGTGACGGCCCGAGCCGAGGTTCCCTCGGGAGCCCTCTAGCTTAGTCACCATAACGCGTAACAATAATACGCGAGGTTCAGGCTAGGCGCCTCGAGCGCCCGGCCCCCTCAAGTCCGTCGGATCTGTAAAGGCCCCTAAGGCCAACAGTGCCTCATCCAGCCAAAAAAAAAAAAAAAACTTAGCAGGGAGTCCTGTTGCGTACGGCGACGCTTCCGCATCTCGTGGAACTAGCTGGACCAATAGACCAATAGGGAACGTGCAAGCGAACAGAGGTGCTTTGTCTTGTATGAACGCTTTCTGGACCTTGCATTCGCCCTAGTTACATTTGTATTATGTTCTTACATTGAAGTTTGAGTTCAAATAAAGAATTCAATTGTTGATAAAGTTTATAATTTTACACACATACTATATAATACAGTGCACAGAATGCCAGTCGCACAGCGAGCTATGGAGCGTTCCATGCTGGGCATCAGGTTAAGAAATCGCATCCGCAATCCCGAAATCCGTTTTAGGACGAAGGTGAACGGATAATGCAGCTCAAATCGACGTACGAGTTCGATTCAATTGCAATTGGCCGTTTTTTAATGTTTTAGACTGCCAAATTTTTTTAAAGTTCCGAATGACCATCTAATTAAGGTCATTTATCTTAACTAATCATAGTAATTGATCTATAACTTGCTATTACTAAATCCTAACTATTCATGTTTTCAGCCTTTTTTGCGCTGAAGTTTGTTGTATTACGAACATTAGGATTTCACAGTTTTTACAACTTATTAATTTTTTTTATTATTTTAATTACTAATGATATTCATAACCAGATTTTTTACAATCTATATAAAAAGTACTAAATAAGATATGAAAAAATAAAAGCTAAAATAATAACTAACATACAATTATTTATTCATTTACTGATTCTAGAAACTTCCTTGAACAATAAGACAACTTCAAACATTAGGATAATATGTTGTTTCAAACTTCTTTCTACATCTTGGGTACGGTCGTAAACTTTTAGGGATGTATGGTGGTAAATGTTCATCTAATCGTCTTTTGAATGGATTGATACCTCGCTCGAAGAACCGCCTCTTTGCCTCAAAGAATCTGGTATTATGTTCAATCTTATAAATTCTTTCCCATAAATATATTTCAGGCATCAAATTATGTTTAGGCCTGTTTGAAACCAGATGCTTATATCTAGATTCCAGCCAACATCGTTTATTATCATCTTCAATGTCAGCTATAATTTGTTCATCTTTTCCTAAATATGGCTTTAGGTCATATTCGCGCTCTTGCGGCGTATTGAGGTACAACTGTACCAACATTTTTAAAATATCTTCATTTAAACCTTTCACTACTCCATTCTCTATGGTTTCATACAGTTGTAGTGGTTTTGTACCAAAGCACACATTATGTTTTGGATTTTCATCCATCTGCTCATTATGCATAGATATAGTATTCATTTGATAAATATAAAATGACCATAATTTGCCATTAGTTATAATAGTTTGTGTAACTAGTGGATATGTTATGTCATTGTATGAAGTAAATCCTTGATAATTTGCCTGAGCAAGAAGCCATCCAAAGCTGGCTTTTAAAGCTTGACAATGCAATGCGTCTAGATTATCTTCTGGTCCAAATGACTTCTTTCTCGATACAATATGATCGCGACTGTGGTAAGACATCAAACCAAACTCATCATGGTCACCAGGCCAAAAACCTGAAATAAAAAACAACATTTATAACAAATGCAATAAATAAATCTACTATATGTATTTTAACTGTTTTAATTGATTTTGAAATTCTCAAAATTTGGAACAAAGGTCACGGATAGACTACATGGCGAACTCAGGCTTTTTACCTGGAATATTTGTTCCATGCCTAAATTGCGTGTTGTAGCCAACAGTTTCGGGAAAATAAGAGAATTTTGGTACTTTAAATTCAGGATTTGTTGCTTCCTCATATGGCAGGATCGGCTGCAGAGGCAAATGACTTCTTATTGAAAGAACTGGTGTTCCTAGAAATATTAAAAAATAAATAACATGTAAAAGTCAATTAAATACAATTCTAAAATTCCACGTCTATATGTATATTGAGCCGTAGAGTGAGAGTATTAGCTTGTTAAAATCGCAACCTAAATCGGTTTATATCTTGGTTCTACACCTCTCACATCATAGTAATTTATACAAGGTTTAAAAAGATTGACTAAATGTCTGCACTAATTAGACAAGGCTGTGTGACAAGGGGAAGTGTTTTTAAGACAAGGGTCAATGTAGTAATTCGAAACATATCTCAGCTTCTCCTCATAACAGGCGTCATATGATAGGGTACTCATTTTTATAGTATCGTTTTTAGGTTTTTTCCTATGTGCAAGAGCCAACCAACGTATGCAAGCTTGCCCATTTGTGCTATTTCCACCCTAGCCTAAGTTTCACATATCAAAATGAACATTGTTTAATGTAGCCTTATTTTATAGAATATAAAAAAAATATACATATGTCGCATAAAAATGCTTAATTTCCTTCTATACTTACCAGTATATTGTACGGGCCTGTCTATGGGTTCCAGAAGCCGGTCTTTTAACCATTTGTACTGTTTTCTCCATTTTACAACATTGTATGGAACATTAATACCTCCGACAAACCAAAATGCTTCATGCCGCGGTTCATAATCAGTCTGTAACAAATTTACAATACCAAAATTGCAAAAAACTTTATATACATAACATAAAGGTTTTCACATGTGTAATATACATGTCTGTTACATAAATGTTGGTAAATTGTGACACATTAATTGTTTATGTTGGTGTTTTTAACCGACGTAAAAAAATAAGGTTTCTCAAGTCTACCTTATATATATATATATATATATTGTGTGTTCGTGGATAATTTCGTCGCTTATGAACCGATTTTAATGATACGTTTTTTTTTGAAAGGAGATATCCCAAGGATGTACCATGACAAGTAAACCCGGATCTAGTGATGGCGTCTTAGAGAAATCGAGGGCAATACTCAAATGTTATAGGTATTAACAATGTTTTTTAGTTTCCTGTTTAAAGTTGGGTTTTTTTGTTAAAAATTTATAAGACATAATGACTAGTGCAGGTCTATGATAAATGAATATACCCTTAAAACAATTTATTAGTGAAACCTTCGGGGTCATAATAATGATGAATTTGAGTTTTAAACAAGTGGAAATTTATTTAGTACCACTGCACTCATTTGAAAAAATTCATTCACCATTTGCATAGGACATTACTGAAGACAAGGGACATATCATGTAAGTCTTAGTATGTATGTGAGAATATTTTCTTTAATATATTTTTAAGTAAAAGGAATTTATATGGGCTTCAACTTGTAAAAATGACTGCAAAAACTGAATTGCACCTGTGATGCCAGGGTACTTGTTACAAATATCAAATAGTTTACATACAAATGATATATATAAAAATATATAAAACATATTATTGAGTTCCATTTTTTCGTGACTTTTTCATTAATATGAACGAAGGCACTAACACTAAATGCTGTTAAACTTCAATATATCAATAAATCATGGGTAATGTGGTATTTATCAAAATAAGCTGATTAGTTATGAAACTGAACAATTACCTGTGCTGATAAAATGTGTGGTATTTTGTCTGCAAGTTTATTACAAATTACTCTGTTAACTTGTTTTATTATATTTTTTGTCTCAATGTTTTCTTTCACCTGTTCTTCTGGTTTATCTTGCGAATCAGCATTAATGTGCCTGAAATTATATAATATTGTTAATGATGTTCAAAACCCATTCCATTGTCATACAACCAGTATATACCCCATGTTATATGCAGAATGTCGAATTGCTTTGTGACATTAAAATCGCACCTCTGTCCACCTTCTTCATAGAATTGTCGACAAGACAGGCCCATTGCACTTCGTATGGCAAACGTATACCCACCAGGCACAGCCCATTCGCAGGTGAACACAAGATCGCTTATTTGCAGCCGACTCAAGATATACTCCTGAACCTGGCCGCTTTTTAAGTCGTGTTGGTACAATATACAACAATACAATATCAGCCTATTGCCGTCCACTGCTGAACGTAAACCTCCCCCAAAGTGCGCCAACTATCCCGGTCCTGGGCATCCATCCGCTGCCCGCCACCTTTGTTAAGTCGTCAGTCCATCGTGCCGCAGGCCGTCCCACACGTCGTTTTCCTAACCGTGGTGTCCACTCTAACACGTGTTGTCTCCAGCGAGCATCAGTACGTCTGGAGACATGGCCAGCCCACTTCCACTTCAGCGTGCTAATTCTGCGCGCAATGTTGGTAACTTTAGGTCTCTGGCGAATGACTTCGTTTCGTATCTTGTCTGCCAGAGTAACCGCAAGCATTGCGCATTCCATCGCCCGCTGAGCGACCTTGAATTTGTGGACCAGCCCCACGGTGAGTGTCCACGTGTCGGCTCCGTAGGTCACTGGTAGGACGCACTGGTTAAACACTTTGGACTTGAGGCATTGCGGTATTGACGACTGAAAAACGTGTCGTAGTTTCCCGAGTGCCGCCCAGCCTAAGCGTATTCTTCGGTTGGCCTCTTTCTCAAAGTTGTGCCGGTCTAGTTGTATAGTTTGGTCAAGATAGGTGTCACAACCTCAAGCATCGCGCCATTCACGACCACTGGTCTCGGGATCACATGACTATTGGACATAATTTTCGTCTTGTCAAGGTTCATACCGAGACCCACTTGTCTCGAAGAATCGCTCAGGCTGTTGAGCATGGCTTCCAGATCTTGCAGAGATTCTGCCATGATGACAATGTCGTCAGCGAATCGCAAGTGTGTTATTAATTGGCCATTAAAATTAATGCCCCGTCCGTTCCAATACAGCGTCTTAAAGACGTCCTCCAATGCATTTATAAACAGTTTCGGGGAAATCACATCCCCCTGTCTTACCCCACGATGCAACTGGATTGGCCTTGTGCTTTGACGGACATTGTTGCGGTCTCAAATAGACGTCTCAACACTTGGATATATCGACAGTCAATTAGGCATCACTGCGTGGATTCTAGAACAGCCCAGGTTTCGATTGTATCGAAGGCTTTTTCGTAGTTCACATACGCTAGGCATAGACGCTGCTTGTATTCCTCGGTCTTCTGAATTATTTGCCGAAGTGTATGTATGTGGTCCACTGTGCTGTATCCTTTACGAAACCCGGCCTGCTCCATGGGCTGGAAGTCATCGAATTTTTGGGCGAGACGATTCGTTATAACCCTCGAGAACAACTTATATATATGGCTCAGGAGTGATATCGGTCTATAGTTTTTCAACAGTCTTATCACCCTTCTTAAAAAACAACATAACCACACCTCTGCTCCATGCCATTATGGAGGACGGAATTAAAGTGCTTAGCCAGCTACGCCAATACTGGTGTGCCTCCTGCTTTCAATAGCTCTGATTTAATTCCGTCCTCTACCGGAGCTTTGTTGTTCGCAAGTTGTCTGAGGGCAATACTAATCTCGCCCATGTCGATGTCGGGAAGCTCGTCTGACAGGTGGCGTGTTAGTCTAGCTCGAAGATCATCCGCATTGTGGGAGAGAGGTGGAGGTACTTGGAAAGTATATAGGTCCCTATAAAACTTTTCGACTTCAGCGAGAATCTCTGGCTTAGAGGTGACGGTGGTTCCGTGAGCTGTTGTGAGTTTTGACAGGTAACAGCAGGAGATTTGAAACTTAGCAAAGACTTTGAGCCCCAGTTGCGCGATATAAGATTTTTAATCTCTTGAGTCTTCGCTGGTCTAAAATCTCGCTATATCAGTTTCTTAACCTTTCTCTTAAGGACCTGACGCTCAGAAGCTGTCGCAAATATCACCTCTCGTCTCTTCTTCATCTCCTCCAGAGTCTCGTTTGATAGCTTCGACTTTCGTCCAGTGCTCTTTGGTCGAAAATATTTTTCTACCACTTCACGGATGGTCCGCGTTAGACTATTAGTGGCGTCGTCAATGTCCTGTTCGTGCGTGTTTTCCAGCAAGGTGTCCCCAACCAATCCCGTACCAAAACCTTCTACACTGTTGTTATGGGTGACTTTAATGCCAAAGTGGGAGTACGCGAGAATGGCAAATCGAGAGTAGGAGCATTCGGCTATGGGAGCAGAAATCACAGGGGGCAAATGCTAGTAAACTTCCTCGATGATCAGGGGCTATTTCTGATGAACTCCTACTACCAGAAAAGGCCTCAGAGGAAGTGGACCTGGCTTAGCCCCGATAAGGTGACTAAAAATGAGATCGACATTATGTCCAATAAGCGCCATATATTCAAGGACGTCTCAGTGATCAATAGGGTAAATACCGTCTTGTAAGAAGCACCTTGAATATAAATATAAAGATCAAACGTGCGCGACTGGTGAAGGCGACTCTGAGACCACTGCCCCCAGGTTGAAGCTGAATGTAAAAATTTTCAGCTAGAGCTACAAAATCGTATTGGTATTGTTATTTAATAGTCTACATCCAGAAATTTAAATTTTTAATAGTGCTAAGCTTACTGCACTTAAGATTTAACATTTTATCCGAAGAGGCCAGAATGCTAATTAAATTGTATTTACGGGTAGCGTGAATGTTGCGGGGTGCACCAATCTCTTCATTGGGCCGGGGCATGAACAATTTTTGTGTTACTGTTACGTACTATTAGGTTAAGCTAATACTGTTGGAATTATTAAATGGGGGTGTCATAGTCACTGTGTGACAAAACCCCTTTCTAACAATAAAGATTAAAAAAAAACGATTTAACATTAAAATTTGTAGAAAAAGTACGAAAAGATTGTCGCCGCTGTGGGAATCGAACCCACGTTTTCGGCATTTTACGTCTACGTCTATTTAGTCGCTCCTTGTATATATTTCATTATTATTTTTTTTCATAAATAAATTGTTTTCGTAAAGCAATTCAATTCAATTTTTAATATACTGGCTCCATCAAGGATAGCTTGATGATTCTGCCAATATCAAGGTTGAATAAAACAGATGGAAAGTGAAATAATTGCCCAGTAGAGTTGGCTTTTGTATGTTAGTTAGAACAACATACTTGACTTGTTACCTGGACAAAAGGAAAATCATTTGTTACAAGATACATAAATTAAAAAAATATATAAATAGATAATGGTGGCTATAATTTTATATTATTAATACAGAGGAATTTATGAAGTAATTTTACAACATGGGTGTCATTAAGAGTGAAATGGAATGGGATATTAACAGGTCAGGGAAGTTAAAAGGAAGGAAATCATAGAGGGGCGGGAAGATTTGGACATGAAAAAAATAAATGTTCCAGAGTACCCTCTGCTAAGCACATGACATAGAAAGTGGTCCAGTATGTTCAGATTAACTAGAAAACACTGGGGAAAAAACATGTCCTAGATGAAGGTGAATTATTACAGATGTAAAATGGCACTGAATCTGAAAATTTTAAAACTAAAACTACACTGATTTGGACACACACAAATAGGGCAGTGAATTTTTGATCAGTGAATATCAACACCCGGTCTGCCCATTCATTCCTCACAAGCAAGTTAAATATCTGGTTAGCATGATATTCTTGTCTATATATATAATGTGTATATGTATATATATATATATATATATATATATATATATATATATATATATATATATATATAAACGGAATCTCGGAAACGGCTCCAGCAATTTTCATGAAATGTAGTATGTGCGTAGATTCGGGGGCGAAAAATCGATCTAGCTAGGTTTTATATTTAGAAAATGTCCTTTTATCCCTGTTTTCAGGGAATGAAAAATATCATTCAAATATGACAGTAAATTTCGCCGCAAAAAAAAATTTTATAATAGCTCGGTAGGTAATCGGCAGCCCTAAAACAGACGGCCGCGGTTCGTATCACGATCATTTACACACTTATTTTTTTTTCTATATCAGATCATTTTCTTTATTTTTTTTATTCACAAAATACATTTACCAAAAAAAAAGGTCCTCCAGGTACTTGGTAATAAAAGAGGATGTTTTCCACGCAGAGAACTGATAAATAAGAGAATTTACATCTATTAACTAATAAAGGATGAGATTTGTTTGACCAATAAGAAGACAAGTTAATGGAGTGAGAGAGGAGACTTAAGAATTTTTGTAAAGCATTAATTGACGAGACCACTTTTGTTGTGGTTCAAGGTAAACTTTGAATCTGAAAGTCCTTTGGATTGTGTTATGTCCCTTCCATTTACCAACTCTTGTCTAGAATAGTCATGGAGTTCCAGTGGAGCAGACGGCATCATTAAGACATCATCATACACTACTTTTGTCAGTACCTCTGTAAGTTGTCTACCCACAGACCTTTCCAGACACAGCTTTCAAAGTCGCCGGGCTATCAGAATATTACACTTCACAAAAAAAATTCCTGATAAATATATTAATTAACAATAAGCATGGAACTTATCCACGTAAAGGGAAAGTCAGGCATAAACAATTTTTATATTATATTAATATTGGGAAAAGGCAAAATTTGTTAGATGGCCTGCAACTGTGTATGAAATTAAGTGTTTAAGGTTGAACTAATATATTTTCACTTGGAGTAGATATAGATTATCAACTCCCTATATATCATATTATATAAAGATAGTCATTAACAACATTTGATAATGCTTACTGTTATAACAGTAAAATATAAACAGATATTCTTATGCAAGAACTAGGATGTTAACATAACAATAAAAGCCAAAATTAAAATATTAATGAAAAAGCAACTATTCAATTATGTTGCAATTACCTTATTCCTTCTAATTCCAGAGCAATTGCATCTTCTATAAGTGACTTCGTTTCCTTAACGATAGAGTCTGCAAGCGATGCCGTATCAGAATAAATATTCGCAGGTAAAGTTTCCAGTGGCATTAAATGAGTTCTAGTATAACATTTAACTAAAGGTAACGCATTGTATGGTATTCTATTTTCATTTAACATTACACATTTCCAACCATAATATCGAGGCATATTTAAACCAAATTGCTTCTCCTCAACGGTGTTTAAATTTCTAATCTTTTCATGAACTATTTGTCTTTCTCGTAGTTTCCTTCCCTGGATAGATGTATCTAAAATTGGAGGATACATAGGGGTATCCGTATACTCGTTTTCGTTGGGAAGCACTGCATTTGAATACCGTCGTTTAGTCCAATATTTGAATTTGGTCAGATTCCAGTGTAATTTTGATAGGTGCATCTTGAAGAGAGATTATTCAATTTTTAACATAACCTATCATCTTTTAAAAACAACTTGAATTGAATGAATGAATGATTATTGGATTGGGATTGGATTGATTAAATTCAATCCAATAGGGATGTAAAAATCAATATGTCGATAATTTTGATTCTATATAGCGATATTTATAGCCGTTATATCGATACATGGATACAAAATGTTCAATATCGAAATCATATCAAAAACGATATTTTTTCCAATTCGAATTACATGCCAAATATTGAATACTTGACTTTTATTCGGTCAACGGGTCCTAAAGAGAAAAAATCGGTATATCTTTCCGCACGCCATTGAGTCCAAGGCAGCCAGATCGCATTTTGCAGCCCCAGCCCAGATGTGGCAACAGTACTCCATACACGATCGGACTTGAACTTTGAACAGTCTAAGAAAGTGTCGGGGTGTTTAGTACTTTCGCACCTTTGCAAGAGCGCTTAACTTTTTTGCAGCTTTCATTGAGTCTACAGCCAGGTCGTGAGGGCACAATGGGTCTGACATGCAGACTAAGCAAAAGTCCTTTAAAAATAAAGAATGAAAAATAAAATAAAAGCCAGGGCGGTTTTAGACTCAATGAACCACCCAAAGTGGAGGCTTGAGAATATTTCGATTACCAGCACCTGAAAGGGGTCAGTATACTCCAAGGGTACAGAAAGTAGGAGGCAAGGTGAAGGGCCTCTTTTTGTGGGCAAAAGACACGCCTGCGTTTTGGAGGAGTTGAATCTCACAAGATTGGCATCACCCCATTCAGAGACCTCCTGCAATGTAAGATTCAACCCTCTACCATGGCCTGTCTTTCGGACTGGATGAGATCGTTACTGACCCGAAAATTCGGTTGGTATCTCTCCGCCACTCTGCTGTCGTCCACGTACCCATAGACACCGAGCATGAGCAGATCGTTGATATGCAGCAAGAAAAGAGTTTTGGAAAGGAAGGACCCCTTTTTTTTTTTTTTTTTTGACGTGGGGGAAATGCCTACGCATACCCGCCCTCGCGGGGGCAAGAGCGGGTTATGTCGGACTCGCACCGACTAAAACCTCCACGATGTTACACCTAGGCGCATATCGGCAGGGTCACGGGAACGCTTTCGCACACTTCCGCGAATAGATATTCCAGGAGAGCCAGTGCTAATAAGCAGCAAGCCTCCCAGCCCCCAGCGGTGGACCTGGTCTGTGGCTCCGCCGCTCACCCTGTTTCGGCCGCGGAGGATAGGGAGAACGGCGCACCGCAATACCGACACGCCTCTCCCCCCGCGGCCCCACCACAGCTGCATCAGCGGTGCAGCCCCGCCGAGTTGCGGAGGATAGGGAGCACGGCCAACGCAATACCGACACTCCTCTTCCCCTGCGACTCCTCCTCGGTAGCAGAAGACAGGAGAGTGGCTCCACCTCTACCACCCTCGACCTGTCCCCTGCACCTTCCAGCACGCATCCAGAGTAGGCTCAATGAGCCCACTCGGAGCGGCCCTCTCGGGCCGGCCTTACACCACAGGCCGGCCAGTGTGGGTTCCTCTTAGCTTCGCCGTGGGGGACCAAGCCACGGCTACTAAGCCCCTCCACCACGTCAAGGCGGGAACCCGGTCGGAGGGGAAAGGACGGAAGAATGGAGGTCATTGAAATTGGTCTTAAATTGGGTTTGTCTCTCTAAATCTCTGTCTAAATCGTCTGAAAAAAATTATTTTAAGGTTAAAAGTGCATGATAAATATCGAAGGCTTTAACCAACAGATTTGTTTGGAACCAGATTCAATTGATTGGATTGAATAATCATTTTAAGTCAACTCATAATTGAAATCGACGTTCCGATAAGTACTCATATACATTTTTTTATAAGTATTAATTTATACTCAGTGAGTTTTGTAAACAAATTATAAATCAAACTTTATCCATTATCTAAAATCAAACGTCTTCCTGAAGTTAAATCCACCCAAGTAACTGTTTTTCTGGAAATCGCCAGAGTGACTATAAAGAATCTGTGCTGTACGGACGATTTAGTTTGGAGCTTAAGGCCTGAACAGTTCTTCGAGAATAATTGTTAACGAATAAAGGCATTTTTCAACCCTTTATAAAAAAATACGTTGTTAATTTCCCCATGGTGGATAAAACTCTAATGAAGTCTTACGAAACATTCAATTCTCTAGTGTTTTACAAATATTATTAAAAATAAATTGATTACTTCAGCGGCGATCAAAAATCACATCTAAATAAAATCGATTTCTGAATGAAATTTTTTTAATAGCATAGTACAACACTAGGCGATAGCTGATGCAAGATTAATTTAATATCTTTGACTTCGCCACCTGCCAAAATATCATAACCAACTTTTAGTAGAAAACCTATTTATATTGAGAAAAATATGGATGACGATATGATTTTTGATCCTTCATTAAAGAAAAAGAAGAAAAAGAAGACTGGTTTTGATATAGACGCTGCGTTAGCAAGTGAACAAGGCGAAAGTATGTCCGTGGAAGCGCCTGTCGAGTCCGGTGACGTCGACGTGCCCGAGGATGAGAATCTTGATTTAGATAATTTTGGCAAGAAAAAGAAGAAGAAAAAGAAGACATTCTTTAATCTAGAAGAATTGGAGAGTGCCTTGCCGGAAACGAAAGAAGAAAAACCTCCTGCAGAGGAGCCAGAACCTCAAGAAGAGAACCTAGTGGATGATCTGGATTTGGAAATAGATTTCTCAAAAACAAAGAAGAAAAGAAGGAAGAAAAATTTAGATGAAATCGTTGCTGAAGAAGAAAGTAATGAAAACCAAGAAAATGCTGAAGACCTCCACGGCGATTGGGTTAGCACAGACCGTGATTATACCTATGATGAATTACTTGAACGTGTGTTTGATATTATGCGTGAAAAAAATCCAGGCATGGTTTCCGGGAAGAAACAAAAATTTATAATGAGACCACCACAAGTTGTGAGGATTGGAACGAAAAAAACATCTTTTGCAAACTTTACAGAGATATGCAAAACACTACATCGGCAGCCAAAACATTTATTGGACTTTTTATTGGCTGAGCTGGGAACTAGTGGTTCTGTTGATGGTAATAGTCAACTGATTATAAAAGGTCGTTTCCAACAGAAGCAAATTGAAAATGTTCTACGTCGGTATATCAAAGAATATGTAACATGTCACACATGTCGTTCACCAGATACTATTTTGCAAAAGGATACCAGATTATTCTTCCTTCAATGTGAGACTTGTGGTTCACGTTGTTCTGTTGCTAGTATTAAGTCTGGTTTCCAGGCTGTGACTGGCAAGAGAGCTGCCATTCGTGCAAAGATTGCATAAGATGTAATTATTTAGAAAATACCAACCTAAAAATAATGTAACATTTCTTTGTGGTACAATGACCTAACATTTACGTTTTAGGGCTGCAAATATTGTTTCAGTTGTAAATCTGTTCAATCTATTACATATAGCATAAAGTGTAATTAAATAAATTTACTTACAAATGATCAGTTTGTATGCACTCATTAATGAAAAGTAAATCATAAAGATTATCTATTATATCCACATATTATAAAAACTTGAACAGTTTTTAGATTTGTGATAATCCATGCAGGTAGCCAATTAATAATTGTGTGACAGTGTTGTCAGATGTTTTAAGGCAATTTATTTATGTATAACAGATTTGCCCTGGAATTTAAAAATTTCCCTTCGTAATACCTGTTCATATATATACTTATAAATAGTATCACATCTGTATTATTCTTAAATACAAATGTTTTTATAGGAGTTTGTTTTATTTATTTACTGTGTTCTTTGTAACTTTTGTTCAGTATTCAAACAATTTCATGGTTACCTATAATATTAAATTCTAAATATATGTCATCTATTATGGATGGTTGGGCTACCAGCTGTTTAACAGCTTCAGTTGTACAAATGGGCAGACTAGTCCAGGGAAGTACTGTTTTGGTTGGCCAGTGAGGTAACCTTGCCCTACTTTTATTTATTGGTTGGCAAATGAATTTGCACACCATCAAATGCTGTAAAAGACTTCAATCAGCAGGGGTAATTTAAAGTTAGGTGCACTACCTGCTCGCATACAAACTATTAAAAAAAACGAATAATAGTTAGTATTTTATGAATATGTATATAAAATATGGGCATATTTATATTATGTATATATAATATGGAAATATGGTAGTCAATATTTCAAAATAACCATGAATAATAAAGAAAGACGTTTAGATGTCTTTTTTTTTTACATACATCATTTAAATGTTGTTTTTGTCTTTAATTTAAAAACACTAGATTTTTTTTAATATATTTATTAACATGCAATAAAACTTTATATTTTTCAATAAAAACAATAAAATAAATGATTAATTATTAAAATTTAAATTGTTAACAGTTCTTAGTCTCTTGGTATTCTTTGTGGAATAAAATCAGGACTTACAGCTTTGCTTAGGCTATTGGCATAAAGATCTAAGCGTTGTGTCATACAAAATCCCCATTTATCTTTTATCTGACGACACATGTTAAGGTCAATTTTGGCTATTAATAAACCATCCTTAATTCGAGATAGACCAGGAGTTCGAGAACCATCTGGAGCTGTAACATAACTAGAACCATAAAAGTGCCCAAATTCATTATGTGCTGGTTGTCCATCTCCAGACGTAAAAGCGTTAGGAAATTGTTCTGTTCCTACTCTGTTTATAGCACATGTAAAATAGCTATTAGCTATTGCAGCATTACGAGCTTCTACACCCCAAAGATGTTCACTGAGACCAGCTACTGTGGCTGAAGGATTGAACACAATTTCAGCTCCATTGACACCAAACATTAACCAGTTAAGGGGATGGTGGCGGCCATAACAAATATTGATAGCTATTCTGCCAAATGTGGTTTCAAAAACAGGATGGCCTGTGTTTCCTTCAAAGTAATATGTCGATTCATTGAAGTCACCAACACGGGGAATGTGATTCTTTCTATGCTTTCCTATAACTTTACCCATTTCATTTATAACAACTGCTGTATTCCAAATTGTGTCACCATGGACCTCATCTCTTTCCAATATGGGTGATATGATCACCATACCATATTTTATAGCCAATTGCTTAAGTAATACAGTACTAGGTCCATCCAGAACTGATTCAGCAAACTCGCACCAAGGTTGCTTTTCTCTTGTGCAGAAAGCGAAAGGCATGTTCCATGCTTCTTGTAAACATAAAACATTTACTCCTTCATCAGCAGCAGTTGCAATTATTCTACGAATTTTCTCAAAAATGGCAAGCCTTTGTTCGCTTATTGGCTTACTTGTAGGTAGTACAATAGAGTGTTGAATTAAACCAATTTTAACAATACGGGGCTTCCGAACTTCTTCATCTTTTGCAAAAAATTCATAAGCCGCAAGTTCAAAATTATTTTCATTTCCAAAGCGTAAGTTTTTGTCTTTAATTTCGATTTTATGTTTGTCAGCTCTTCCATAATAGATTCTATTAAATTCTAGTAATTTTGTTTCCGACAGAGTATTGCTTATTAGCTCATCGAAGCTTTGTAGTTCAGATGGCGATTCCATGATTTATTATGAAATCAAAAAAGAAGTACAACAAATATATTGACTAATATACTTAATTATTAAAAGCAACGTATAGCAAACAACGCGTTTCTGCTGAATCTGCTGCTGTCTCCTTCATTAGATCAGGGGTTCCCAACCTTTTCTTGATCAGGGGCCACTTTTATGTTATTCTTGTTAGCAGGAACCTCTGTGAAGCGATAATTAAAATAAAGTGAAATAATGAAACCGAAACTTTAATTAAAAATTCAAAAGCTGGTTACATAAAAACAAATAATAATATTTTTTGCATAAACTTCTGTTTTGTTGTTGTGTGACATACACTTGTTTTAATGTGATTTCTGAGCTTGCATCTTCTTTACGAGTTCGGCTACCCTTGGACTAATATTGACTAATAGTGACGACTGTAAATAAAAATATAATTTCGCACGTTTCTTTTAAGTTGACCTTTGTTATCAGCATTGCCTTCATAACTGAAGCTGTTCAATATCACCACCACCACTATGGGAAACATTAAACTGTACGACACTTTTCGCATCTGACATCCGAAGCAGTGTTAATTTGCTCAATAAATGGGTGTTTTGTTTGTAGGTTGACATTAAATGAATTTAAAAACAACAAAACGTCAAATTATCTACAAAACTACTTAACGAACATTACACAAAAACATAAAGTATTCAGAATACATGTACTGTCCTCCTCACCGAGTTAGTAGGTAGCCGAGGAGAGCAAGTGCATGCGGGGAATATCCAGGAATAACCGATCGCGGTTCCACGCTGCTCATGAACATGTCTGACGAGCGTGGTTTTAAAATTTCGCGCGGTTTCGAAAAACGGGACAATTTTGCGTTCCGAAGATTTCCGAGCAGACAGCTGTCCGAGAAAAGGGACAGTTCCGTTCAAAACGGGACGTATGGTCAGTTTATCCATGCAGTTTTTTTATGTGACAAGTTGCCAAACGAGCAGACGGTTCACCTGATGGTGAATGAATACCGCCGCCCATGGACATCTGCGAAACCCGAGGGTTACAGATGCGTTGACAACCTTTTGAAAATTGTACTCCGGTTACCTCACTCACCAGACAAAAGGGGACAGTATTTGTCATACTTCCACTTTACGCTAGTCTTCTGTAAGGTTGTGGTACTTACCCCAACGGGTCTGCCTATTCGTGCAACAGCCGAAGCTGCTGCGTGGCCCTACCACCGGCAAAGCAGTAGCAGATAGCAGCAGTTACTGTCGTTTTTTAATTCAATGAGTTCTTACTGGATTCGTTCAATAATTTTACCAACGTCTGTGCTAAAAGTGTTGCGTTCTTAAGTAAGTAAAGTTAAGTAAAAGTGTTAAATTTAAAATCATTAGCGGACCATATTTTAGCTTCTGGGGACACTGGTGGTCCACGGACCACTGGTTGGGAACCCCTGAATTAGATGATTATATTCTTATCTCTTTCTGGATGATACCAGAAACCAGATAGTTGATACAAATCGTATAGGTATAGATACGAAAACTATATATTGGTTCAGTATCTAAAAATCGCTTACTCGCTCGATCAAAATCTATGTATTCGCACACTTGTGTCGGCCGGCTGCTTGCAAGCGACAAAGCTAGGGTTGTAAAAAATAATCGATTTTCATATTAATCAATTATTTTTATTCTCATACTCCATAAAGATCTTTTTCATTCATTTTTCATTTCATCCTAGGCAGTCTCAGGTTCCAGTCCGTATAAGCTCCAAGAGCGGCGCCTGAGATGGTATGGCCATGTCGCACGCCGGTCGAAAAAATATGTCGGATGGATATCCCTTGATATGACAGTCCTGGAAGTTAAGCCTCCTGGCGGCGGAAGGAAGTGATTGCTGGACGTTGTAAGCAGGACATGAGAGCCAATGGACTGACCCATGAGGATGTCGAAGATCGGGCAAAGTGGAGGAGTTTAAGTAGAAAAGCAGACCCTGGCAAACGCTGGGATAAATGCTAGGTAGAAGGAGAAGAAGACTTCATAACGATTTTATTAATAACAAAAATCGATTATATTAACATTTTACTATAATTGATTTGTAAACCAATTTCGTAACTTTTGAACAGATTTGATTATAATAAAATGTTAAATGACATTAAATATTTCTTGCAAAATTATTTTAATTTCTTTTATTGTTTTAGTGTTTGAAGTTAAATTTATAAACTGTTGCTTTGTATTATAAGGAGCCCATTCACTATCCTGCCTGGCAGTCCGTCGCTTTATGCAGGATCGTGAATGGTGTTGTAGGCCTGCACAGTTTGTGGCTAAACCGAGCAGGACGAGCCTGCTGCAAGGGGCCTGCAAGCTCCACCCACCGCTTGCAGTCCGCCGCGCAGGAGCGCCAGTGGTTGGCTTGGCCGTCCAGCATAGCGGCAGTGCTGCCATATGAAGAAAAAAAGATACTAAACCTGCTAAGATACAAAATTAGGCTATATTATACGAAAATATGGATGCTAACTTAGGAGTATTTTTTCGTAAATTTAGACAGTAAATACATACTAGAAATTATTTAGGAGGTTTTTTAGAAATATTTTTAGAAAATAAATTTTATTCACATGTTAGAAAAAAATCTACCATCTACAACATAGGACTAAGTACTTTATTTTAAACAAAAAGAAAACGTGTGCATTCCGGGACGCCCGACTGATGTGATAACATAAACTAAGCTAAAAAACTATTTCATATTGAAATAGTTTAACTTGAGTAAAGCTTAGGTTATTACTTAAATTTTATGTACATTAGTATGATAATGTGAGTCATCATCATCATCATCATTTCAGCCTGTTTGAGTCCACTGCTGAACATAGGCCTCCCCCATAGACTGCCACGAAGTACGATCCTGAGCCACCTGCATCCATCGACTTCCCGCACACCTGCATAGGTCGTCACCGTTACTCAATAATGTGAGTAACGGTTATTTATTAATAAAAATTTTATTTAAGAACAAAAAAACATAGCAGAATACCTATTTTCTTTTTTTTCGAAACGACACGTAAATCCATAATTATTACAACAACAGCACTGACACTATTGAGAGACGGACGGCTTCAGGATTTTGTGTGGGCTAAATCCTGCACGGTGGACTGCCAGGCAGAATAGTGAACGGGCGCCTTTAGATATGAAGCCTGACATATGATTTTAGTATATTACAGTGTTTACAATTTAATAGTATCAAAGTATCTCTTAGTTTTATTACTATAAATGTATTTTTTGAATTGTCATCATCATTTTAGCCTGTTAGAGTCCACTACTAAATATAAGCCTCCCTATAGAGATTTTTTTGTTTTATTTTGTATAACTGATGTTGCGCTTTCAGTCATTGGACTATGAAAGCTTCATCGAACGCAAAACGGCATGTCACCTACGGGCCATCGAGGTTAGGTGCGGCCCGTGACCCTAGATGGCCGTTGAGTGTGCTTGGTTAGTCGGTAGCTGGGGGCGGTGAGAACTACCCTGGAACCCGGGTGTACATAGAGTACGCGTTGTGTTGGTTTTGCCGTGCTCAAAGGCGAGAACGAACTATGGTGTTTGTTGATGAGCTAACTGAGTCTTATTTGGCGGGACCCCCGACGGTGGGTCCCTAAAGAGTGCTATGAAGCACGATCCTGAGGCATCTACATCCATCGACTTCCCGGACACTTGCACACGTCTAGTCGTCACTCCATCTAGTGGGGGCTCATTCCAACACTGAACTGTAAGAGGCTGCCACCCGAGAACGTTTCTTACCCAACGGTTATCGGTAAAATTATGTATTTAGTTCAGTCTGATTCAATAATAAGTAATGGTAATTTTATACCAAATTTACATTATTTAAATGAATGAGAAATTTTAATAAAACGTCAATTATTTATTAATTTTAATCAAATTTCTTTTATTAATCGAAATTTGTATGTTATTTATGAAGACCTTCATTGGAAAAAACAAACAGCTTATTTAGTAAGATCAGTTTTTTCAGTCCTGAATGGAATCAAAAATTAACTAATTAAAACACATGTACCTTTGTAAAAAAACAAAAATTGTTTAAAACGAAGTTAATAATTGGTCAATATAATATTATGTGACATTTCATTATTGAGAATTCGATTATAATAAAATTTTTGTTAACTTTACTTACATATTAAATGAAAGTAACTTTAATTGATGCCATTAATATTTTGCATGCTATTTATAAAATAAAATAATTTATTTAGTTCAATATTATTGATTTAAAACACCTCTTTACCATGTTTTACCTAAATTAGGGATAGTACGAAGCATCACATTGTAGTATAAATACCATAATTATAGTATAAAAAGTAACTCGGCATCCGCGACAATACTAGTAATAGACCACAGTTTTTTTCCGTTCATTTTGATCTTTTCGGCTTTGAATCAGTTTGAATAAAAATATCGTTTTTGATAAGATTTCGATATTCAATTTTTTATATCGATAAATCGGTCCAAAAGTATCGATATATTAAAAAATATCGATATATCGATATTTTTTCGGCATCCTTACCCGTACCTGATGTTTTGTTTGACTTTGACACTGACAGAATGTTGACAATATCACATTTTTAATAAATTACTTCCTTATTGTTAGAAGTTTAATCCAATCAATTAAAAAGCAATAAAGTATTAACCCTGCACAAGTCTTTCTTTCAAGATGAATGTCTTACCTGCTCAGCCAACCGGCATACAAAGTACAGCTGGAGCAGTACCCATTCGAAATGAGAAAGGTTTGTAAACAATGATCATTTATGTGTAAATAAAAGCGACCTTAGGAGATTGAATAAGAAATATTTTAAAGTTTATTAATATAACGTTTATAGTTATTATAATGTAATTTTTTCTTTGTCCTTTTAAGGTGAAATTTCTATGCAAAAAGTCAAAGTCCAGAGGTACATTTCGGGTAAAAAGCCAGATTATGCACAAGGAGTTTCCTCGTCTGAAGAGTCTGATGGTGAAGATTTTATTGAACAACAAAAACCGGAACGCAGACTTCAGATTATATCTCAAATTGGCAAAAATGAGGAGCAGAGTGATTTAGAAAAGGAAGTTAGTCATTGCATTAATTACAAAAGTGTTGAAAAATACATCAACCAACTTTATAACTACAAACTGCATGCATCCATATAATGCGTACACTAGCTGGAACAATCAAACACAATTTTTTTTAAATTGGTTTCTTAGTATAAATATTGCGTAAACATTTATATGCTTTAAGTAAAAGCTTTTTTTTTTGACATTTTTTTAAAATGTTAGAAGATGGTAAACAAGCTGGTGGTTCATTTAATGTTAAGTGATAACTGCCACACCTGTAGGATTGCAGATGCGTTGCCTCCTTTTATTAAAGCGGGCCCTGGTTACCTATCCCATGAAAGGCAGAAGTATAACACACACTTCACTCCGGTCTGTTAGGTTGTGGTACTTTCCCAGACAAGAATAATAAATATAATATAATGAAGGTTAGACACTTCAATTTTACTCACTGGCTAAGATTTATATTAAATGTGTAGTGGCTCAATTGCATTGTATATGTTTGTAGGTTGATGATCCTCGGTTGCGTCGCTTACGCTTGGCGACAAGATCACCCAATCGACGTTCGGAGCATAGGCCAGAAATAATTGATGCAGAACCGGAACCGGAGTCAGAGTCAAGTGCTGAGGAAGCGCGCCATAGTTCCGAGAGTGATGATGATTTAGATGAGGAAGAGATAGAGAAACGGCGGCAAGCGTTAAAAGCTAAATTAGCTGCTAGGTGTGTATCACTTAATTTTTATTAGAAAAGGAATTTTCTTGAATCAATAATAATTATGTCTAGTTGTGTAAATGTAAAATCCAATATGTTCAATATTAATATGTTCAAGCAGTAAAGAATATTTAATTTGTATAAGGTTAATGTTAAATGGTATAAAAAATCCCTACTATACAGCAGCATGGCATTACAACTGCAACAATAAATGCAAAAAACTTAAATTCTTCTCTTAAATTCAGTCAACCAATTCATATTCTTTGTAATCTTTATTGTTATCGATCGTTACTGTTTTGTATGTAAGGATGTTCTAAAATTATTTATTTTGGAAAATTTAATAACTCTGTGAATATTGATGGTAATTTTAAAAAGTCGTCCTTTATGTATGTGTTGATTTATGGTTGAGTTAGTACCGCCATGTTGCATATTCATATTATACATTTTAATGTAAGTTTGTTTGTTAGACACATATTCTTACAGGTATGAAAAAAACTTAAAAAAAAAAAAAGAAATAAAAACGGGGCTTCAACGCAAGCGTAGCCGCGTGTATAAGCTTTTAAATGATTAAGAAAGAACAAATATAGGATGTATGGATTATTTAATTCATATTGAAGTTTTATTAAGTGGTATTAATATTAAATCAATTTAAAATTGTGTAGAGAAAAATAGAATCTGTTGAACATTGTCTTTCCATCTTATTGTGATTATTACAAACAGTATTAAAATAATGGCAATGAAGTCACTTAGTACAGCCATAATTTGAAATTGTATTAGAAACTAACAACTCCCTGGCTTTGCACGGGTGCAATGTAGTCACTAATGTGGAGCAGTGATTAATAATATGATTAGTCCGTAAATATCTTTACATACAATATTTACAGCTGTTTTTTCCTGAGACAGTGCAAACATGATTTCTTTAGAGGTTGATCTCTAAAGCGCGTGACAGCAGACTGCTAACTTGACGGACGTACGGCCCGCCAGACGCTGTGCAGCCGCTTTTTAAATCTCTGATATCATCTAAGATATTCGTTTTAATGTAATGCTGTGAAGGGCAATTTTGATCTACGTGAATGCACAATGTATCTAATGTAATTAATTGGATAAGGAATAATAATGTATTATTTAAAATAGCTTGATAAATAATCAACAATTTTTTTGAAAAATGTAAAAGATAAAAATTGTTACTGTGCGTTATTCTTTTTTTACAATTTTTAACACGCTTTTATTAGTTTCACCTGAATGTATGTATGTATGAATGTAACGGAATCTTTAATGTGATTTTGCCCCACTTTTAATGATCAGATTTGAATCAAACTGCATACTCGTCGACATGACAATGCAATAATTTAAATAGTTTTCCCTTTATACTGATCAGGACCTTCAGGATTAGCTATTATCCAAATCTGATCCCCGGTCCTTGTGCAAATTACGCATTTAAAAAATGTTTGAAAAATAAAAAAATACGTTTTTGTACTTAGCAGCAGAACTACAAAATAGAAAATAAATAATAGTTAAAAAAAAAAAAACTAAAAAAACTACTTATATACTTTTACCAGTATACTGAATATCCTGTCATTAAAATATTATCACAATTGACTCCAAGCACCTCGCGCTTTTCTTCAATAATTTTTTTTGTTAATCACATTATTGAAAAGTTTTAGTTTGGCTATCTACAAAAGCGTATTTTTTAGTTTTTTTTAAACTATTATTTATTTATTGATCTTTTTAAAATATACAATTATATAGTACATTGATTTGATGTATCTCGTAAGGTTAAGCCTAGACAGCGTTTGCAATGTAAGCGCACAAAAATATGTTTGTTACTGCATCACCTTACAAATCTTTAAATTTCTCGGCTTTTCTCTACTACAATTTACATGTATACCACATTTAAGCCTTCTTCTTGAATCACTATCTATTCCTGGAACCAGCGTTAAAATCCGTAGAGAGTTTAAAAGATATGTAAAAGTATATGTCGTTTACAAATAGCGGTAGCGATTTTGTCTTATAGGTACTATGTATAAAGATACATTTTCAGGATTATTCAATTACCTATGTATATAGGTAATCGAATAGTCCTGAAAATTGTGCAAAAGGTCACATGGTTAAATGTTGTGTGTTAAATTTTAAGGGAAGCAGAAAAGGAAGTTCTGGGAAGAGATGAGGATGAGGAAATGTTGGATGGAGAAAAGGAGGAGAGTGATTCGTCAGATACAGAATACACAGACAGCGAGGAGGACACAGGTGAAACTCCGCTTCTTTGTCTTAATGGAACTTGGATCGTGGGCAGTTTTAGTAAACTCAATACATACAATAATACAGCAAGCGCGGGGCCCGTAGCAAATTTTTTCAAACAGCCTTTGATATGCTATGGGTTCTTAAGTATAAAGTAGTAAAAACAATTCAATAAAGTACTTTACTTATTCAAGTTTCACTCAAATAATTAAGGCTCAGGCAAAGATGAGTGGGTTTAAATATGCGGGGCCCCCCTTTGCCGCGGGGACCGTAGTAATTGCTACTCTTACTACGCGGTAAATCCGACACTGATAATAATAATATAGGTGTGTATGAATGTAGAGGTTATTAGTGGCATCGTACATGTCGTTTGTTGGTAAATTAGGTGAAACCACCTTTACAAAACATAATAATATTTCTTCAGGTCCGAGGGTAAAACCCGTGTTTGTCAGGGCGTCGGAAAGAATGACCGTTGCGGAAAAGGAACGCAAGATGAAACAGCAGAAGAAGGAAGAGTCGGACGCACGAAAAGAGAAGGAGGAGAGGAGAAGGGAAGCATTGAAGTTGGTCGAGGAAACGATTCGTTCGGAACAAAGGGGCGCGCAGGTTTGCAAATTATAATAATTGCTGGGCAAAGGCCTTCTCTGTACAAAGGTTATCAGGGCATAGTCCACCACGCGGCCCCACTGCGGATTGGTTGACTTCACGTGTCTTCGAAATATTTTATTATTTCGAAAATATACAGGTTTCCTCACGATCACCGCTGAGCACGTGATGAGTCAGCACTTAAAATTAACAATTTCATTGGTGCCGGCACCGGGGATCGAGATCGAACTCATGTTGCTCGAGTATATTGAATTTAAGGCGAGCGCCCGGAAACTGAGCCATCGCGGCTCGTAAGGCTTCGTGCAAATTATACCATTATTTTTTTATAAAATGTGATTTTTGTAAGTAAAACTCGAAAATCTACGAGAACTACGACAAGTCGAAAACGGCGAGAAAATCTCGACGTCTATTTACGTTCTTTGATGCATTATTTAATTAAAATATATGCGCCATTACAGAGAACATTTAATGATGAACATTATTACTTCTTACAAGTTTTTTTTATCTTCGTTGTTTTACCGAGGGAAAGCTTTCTTTTCATGTGTGCGGTTGACACCATTCAGGGGGATCAAAAGGAGGCTAATATTAATGACGTGTGCACTGACGACGAAAACGACGAATTGGAGTACGAAGCATGGAAGCTGCGTGAAATGAAAAGGATAAAACGGGACAAGGAGGAAAGAGAGGCGTATGTGCAAAAGAAGTTTTATGTTTCTCGATTATTTACTAATCTATTCTAAATAGCCCCTTATTTATTTTTATAAAAATACGCTTCCGTTCAATAGCTATGTTGTAAAGTAATATCAAGTCAATCCATCTGAGCCTGAATGTAGCCCATTTTGAGTTTTGTGAACAAAAAAGTATGAAAATTTCTCGCTGCTGAAACCCCGCTTTAACCACTAAGCTAATTGGCTGTTGTCACACCAACGAAAATATCAACATATTTTAAGTTTTTTTGCATTTCAAGCAATTTTCTACCAATTTTAATGTTTAATGTTATGTGCAAAAAGTTAAAATTCGAAATGTTATGACATATTAATTTTAAAGAATTTGAATATTAATAATATATTTTGTATTTTCTGATATTAGGTTATAAAATATTTTTTTTTTATACTCATGGGCATTTTTATGGATTATTCAGTGAAAATATTCTTCATTTTCCATTATTTTATAAGTATTTAATGTTTTTTTTTTGTTATAGAATAGAAAAAGAACTGCTTGCCATAGAGCGCTTGCGTAATATGACTGAGGAAGAACGTCGCGTCGAGCAACGTCTCAATCCCAAAATTGTCACAAATAAATCGGTCAAGGGCAAGTACAAGTTCCTGCAGAAGTATTACCACAGGTATTCTTTGCATTTGAAATTATAACTACTAACAATAGTAGATATAATAATATACATAACAACACTACACAATACTACCTCTGTTATAGATTTTATAATAGATGCTCAAATTTGAGACATCATTCCAATTTGAGCATCTTCGGAGAACCGTAAATTAAAATGTAATAAATTTATTTTTGTCATTGTCATTTTTAGTTCTAATGTAACGGAGACGGAGCAGATAGATTCAAATATAACTTTAATACTACAGGTATCTTTGTTTGCTACTTCTTACTAATACTGTCAATAATTTTTCAGAGGTGCCTTTTATCTGGACAAAGACGATGACGTTTATAAACAAGACTTCTCTGGTCCTACGCTCGATGACCATTTCGACAAGACTGTTTTGCCAAAGGTTCGTATCTGTATCGAAATATATTTACATACATATATGCTAGTCATTATGGCAATATTCTTAGCCGTTTTACATTTATAAGTATCTACACTCAAGCCTCTTTTAAGGGACGTCATTTAGCTCAAGAGACTATGTATGTAATGTTGAAACTGCATTTTAAAAATCTCAAAAAAAATCTGTCACACAAACAGCAAAACATTTTCTAATAAAATGCAAATAAAATGATCTTTTTAATTATGAAATAACGCCAAAAACGCCTTGATTTCAAAAAAGATATTTTCTCATCCTTAACATAGCAAATGTTATTGGGATCAACAAGCTTAAGGGCATAAGAATTTCTGCGATCTTTTCTCGAACAAAATATATAGATAATTTATTTTTTCACAAAAGACATAAACAAAAATTTATAGTCTGCGCTTCCCAACAAATTTCACCAATATAATAAATAATAAATAAATAAAGTGTAATGGGCTATATACCTAACAGTTAATAAGATCTAACCGTACAAGCTTCTGGTGCGATGTTTTATACTACGCGAAGATTCATTGGGTTAAACGCGATACTGAACGCCGCACGAATCATTCTGAAAACTGCATTAAATTCCCTTGCGTAGTTAAAAAGATTAAAGCGTCGGGAGAGAATTCGTCTCACACTACGCGAAAATCATTGGGTATAATGCGATACTGAACGCCGAACGAATCATTCTGAAAACCGTATTACATTCCGTTGAGTTAGTTAACAAGATCTAAGCGTACAAGCATCGTGAGCGAATTCCTTTCACACTATGCGAAGATATATTGGGTAAAACGTGATACATTGTACGTGCTAGGACCACGCAACTGTATTCACTGTTGCACGAATGGGCAGGTCCGTCCGGGTAAGTATCACGACCTCACAGAAGACCGGCGTATAGTAGAAGTGTTACACTTCAGCGTTACGTCTGGTTAGTGAGGCAGCCGGGGCGCACTTTATTCGAAGGCGACGCATTTCAACCCCACGGGCGTTGCAATGTCCACGGGCGGCGGATATCACCTAACATCAGGTGGACCGCCAGCTCGTCTGCCACTTTCTCGCATAAAAAAAACACTGAACGCCGAACGGCCCGCTTCGTCCAGGTGATGCAGGTGAAGAAGTTCGGCCGCTCCGGGCGCACGAAGTACACGCACCTGGTCGACCAGGACACGACCGAGTTCGACTCGGCGTGGAACGGCGACGGCGCCAACGCCCGCCTGGCCAACTTCCGCGGCGGCATGAGGCAGGTGTTCGAGCGGCCGTCGGCCAAGAGGAAGCACGCGGTCTGACCCCGCCGACGGGCGTTGCACCAATAAACACGTTCGCACGGAAACTTTGTTTGATTGCCCTTTATTGTCTCAAAAAAAAAGTAAAGCAACAGCCTATAAATGTCCCAACGATGAGCAGAGGCCTCCTCTGTAAAGAGGGTATCAGTGCATAGTTCACCACGCGACACCAATGCGGATTGGCGGACTTCACATATTTACGAAATATTTTTTTTATTATTATTTCGAAAATATGCAGGTTTCCTCACGATGTTTTTCTTCACCGCGGAGCACGTGATAATTCAGCACTTAAAATTAACAATTTCATTGATGCTGGCACCGGGGTTGCACGAGTAAATGTAATTAAAGGAGAGCGCCCGGACAATGAGCTATCACAGCTTTATTGTCTAGGATTTGTCTTTGTAAGTCTGACAGGGCCATGCAACACGTTTTTATCTTATCGCCATTTTATAGCCATTTTGTGGTGGAAGGATTAGCCAATTTGCGTTACCGATTAAGCTATCCTCGCAGATTGTTGCCTAGGGTACCCCTCGCGTGGGAGTTATATATGATGCAGGGCTCGGGGAGGCACTTTTCCTGTACCCCTTTCTCTAACGACAATAAATGTCACTGTGGCGAGGCCCAACCTATGGCCCATCTGCTGCCATGTCCCTTGTGTCCCTCTTGCACCTACGAAGACCTGCTTGAACCCAATTCCGCTGCGGTGGATGTCGCCAAATACTGGTGGAACGAGATCTAAATAGCAATTTTGACTCGATAAGAAGAAGATCGCTATTTTGTTTCGGTCGCCCTACATTAGCGACATTTCTAAAGACCCACGTTTTAAACTCGCATGGGCTAAACCGCCCGCTTCTGTAAGTTATAAGAGAAAGTTCCTCGCCAGAAAAGAAATCTAAGGGATCCTCTTCTCCCTACGGAGAAGAGGATCAAAATCTTGGGATCATTATTGACTCCAGAATGTCATTCAATAGGTACCCACATTCGTAAAATCAACAGGGTCGCTTTCGTATCCGGCCACCTCTATAGGTAATCTAACCCATCAAGCAAATAACAAGGCTTCTGTTATACAAGGCTTTACGTAAGACCCATAGTGTCCTATGTTTACATGTCCACATCCATCCCAATCGCTTTTACAAACTTCAGGTCATTCAAAATAAGTTCATTGGCCTCGTAACCGGTGCTAGGTGGTATCGGCGTTACGTTGATCTATTTAGCGATTAGGTATGCGAATACTTTAGAGAGATAAATCATCAAAGATAATATGATGGTAAATGCAGCGAAATAACGCGACAGTCCATAAACGTAGCCCGCGCAACCTATAATTCACAATTTTTTACATTTTCATTTAATAATGCTCAGTGTATATTTGCGCAGTTATAAGAAATCATTGAATTACATAGTGTGAGTAACATAACAAGACCGAGGGCTTAGAACTATGTAAATTTTAGTTCCCTTTCAATTCCCAGTTGCCATGTTTAAATTAGAAATTGATGCCCTGTCCGACGAAATTGTTTTATTTTCTGTCATTATGAAATATCATTAGCATTCAAATTGTTACACTAAATTAATGTTATGTATGTAAAATTTGGTAATATCAGAAAGTGTGTCCAATATGAGTATAATTTATTCTGTATTGGATATAGGTACTGTATGCGCAGAAATATCTTACCTACAAATTGTCGGTAAAAGAAGAATAGGAATATAATCCAACAGTATAAGTATTACGTAAAAAAATGAACTTTGCAGTTATAGTAAGATAGGTTATGTACCATAATATTTGCGTTAATTTTATTATATAGGAAAGGTCCAAGGAAGTAGAAAAATCTGTTTGTAAAAGAGAAATTTACTTTTGGGATGGAGCAAATCTTTACGAGTCTTACGATGTTGTAGTAGTATTATGTCAAGAATGAAGAGTTGCCTGACAGTTAGAACACCACAATCTTTGTATAACTGGACAGATGGATATAAGATTGGTTTGAAGGTAGAAACTTAATATAGCTTTTTGAGCAATCTCAAGTGGCCTTAAATTTGACTTAGCTGCTCCACCCCAGCATGAAGTACAATAATAAATAATAGACTGACATAGCGCATAAAAAACATTACGAACAATAAAAGGATTTGCAACATATCGTAGAGTTTTAAATATATATATCATTTTGCTAAGTCTGGATGTAAGAATATTGATGTGTGCGAGGAAGAACTAACAGAAAATGGTATAAATTTAGTTTTTGAAGTATTGAGGATAAGAGTATAAGATAAGAGCCAGTTATACACAGTATTAAAACCTAGTTGCGATTTACTCTGAAGGGCTGACCAGGAAGAAAGGACCATGCATAGAAAGTAATCGCTGTGTCATCTGCAAAGGTGATTATTTTTGCGCTATTGATTTTTAAATTGCATAAGTCGTTTATGAATACAAGAAACAAAGTTGGACCGAGAATACTTCCTTGAGGTACACTGTAAGATATTGGAAATTCATCACCGATGCAGTCACCAAATTTTACCATTTGCTTTCGGTCCGTGAGATAACTTTGGAAGAAATCGTGTTGCAGTCCTCTGACACCCATTTTTTCTAACTTGGATAAAAGTGTGGAGACAGGGATCGTATCAAAGGCTTTCGTAAGATCTAGAAAAATTGTCATGACCTTCATGTGTTTATTAAGGTTATTTACTACAAAGTTTATTAATTCATGGGCTGCGTCAGAAGTTGATTTATTTTTACGAAAGCCGGAACAACTAACCTGTTGTTCACTAACCGTTCTAATATCTTGGATAAAGCACTTAGTACTGCAATTGGGCGATAATTATTTATTATACTCCCGTCACCACTCTTGAAAACTGGAGTTATCATAGCCTTTTTTAGAGAATTTGGGAAAATACCATTTACGAAACAAAGATTAAATATGTGGCTTAAAACGGGTGCCAGAGTCGCAGAGTATCTCTTTAGTACACTTGTCGGTATGCCATCCCAACCGGTAGCAGCGTTAGGCTTCAAACTCTTTATAATTAAATTTATTTCTTCACGATTAGTATTTTCGAGTACGAAAGAAGAAGTATTTGAAGGAGATTGAGGCGTTACAAGATCTGATAAAGAAATGCTTTTCAATACTTCTTCAGCTAGCTGCTTGCCAATACCAACGAAAAACCTGTTAGCTTCGTTACACATTTTCTCGGGTGTCGTATGATTTGCGATCAGTTGTGTCGGGAAATGTTTAGTGTTTGAAGAATTAGTAATTGATTTTATTGTATTCCAAAGTTTTTTCGAATTATTTCCTGCTTGTTTAACTTGTTGAGCATCGTAAAGTCTCTTAGCTTTTTTAATAATTTTCGTGCAGAAATTTCTGTACCTTATATGTAATGGAATGAAAAATAATTAGGTGCGTTCAATTATTTTTTTGCGAAGAGTTTCTACAAGAAAGAAGAATTAAGTCTAAGACGCTTGGATTTACGAGATTTTATGTTTTAACCTAAAAGACTTTGAATGTAAATATACTCAGGAAAATATTTATTTATTTATATATTTATTGTACACAAAACACAGGATACAAAAAAAATGAAAATGAAAATAATGTACAAAAGGTAAGCTTAACTCAATATGTGAGTTCTCTGCCAGCTAACCTGGTGAGAAAATAGGTGATTGAAGGTAGCTGGAAATGTGTTCAGTGCACCCAGATATTAATATAATATACCCTACATACATATATATATTAATATATATATACATAAGTAAATATACATATACGTAACATACATACAATATATTAGTAAATAAAGATAGAAGATAATAACAAGAAATATATAGACACGAAGAAAAATACGTTATGCGAATAAATAGAATTCCTTAGCTCTATTCTTGAAGACATCCGATGAGGGACTGGCACATTGTAAGGTAACAAATTCCAAAGACGCACCGCGTGCACTGTAAAAGAGCCGCTAAAACAGGAAGACGAGTGCGAGGGTAATTTTAAAAGAAGGGATCTGATCTCACGACAGGGTTGACCACGCGGCACCATGTATTCAAAACGCTCTCGGAGGTACTGAGGAGCCGCAGGATTATTGAGAATGGAGTAAAGTGTGGATACCACATGCAAATCACGACGGCGACGTATAGGTAACCATTTCAACTGGGATCGGAAGCTAGAGATGTGATCGTATTTACGCAGCCCGAAAATGAACCGTATACACATATTTTGTAAGCGTTATATGCTGGATGAAATATATGCTGGATCGCCAGATAACAAAAAAAAAAACAAAAGTTAATTGAGATTTTAATGGAAATGACTAATAATTTATGCAGGAAGTTTTAAAAGACCTTAATATTTCTCCGTATTTTAATTAGTTTTGAATCTGTTCGTTAAGTATTTACTCCGCTTGCTGTCATCACCAGCTACGTTATTGCTATGGATATTGAATGAGTAATGAGTACCTTTCAAATTATCTTAGGCTTCCCTCGAAATTCTGTGAAAAAGGTAAAAAAAATTCTATAAAGGTGTAAAGTATTAATAGGAGTAAATGACATTTACCGCTTCGAAATCCGCTTTATATTTTCCTTTTAACCGTGGCAAGTTTCTATTTTAACATCGTAATTAAAAAGCTTTGAGTGCAGACCACTATTAAAATACCGGCGAGCCCGCGCCAACTACGTGAGAGTTGTTGTACAAAAAGTTTCAAATTACATTTGGAACGTACATGCGCGAGTAATAACGTGGATAGAACTTTACAAAACATTTTTACTTACTCTAACTTTAGCTACTCTATTGTATTTTTAATGAAGTAACATATAATGATTATATGGAAATGCCAATTTCTGCAAAAGCTTTATATTTCATGTCAACTTTGTTATGAATTTTATAGTGTTCGATAACGAGACAGCTTCTTTACGTACTAGTGTAATGAATTAATTGTAAATAATATTAATTGGGTGTATGGGGAGTGCTTCTACGAATATAAGTGTTTGTTTTTACTTACTTTCACGTGCTTTCCTTTACAGTTTTCTCGAC